TTTCCACAGCTGCCTGCAGGGCACTGCGCTTAGCCTAGCTGTTTCACAGGGAGTCTTGCATTACAACATAAATAGAGGTGTTAGTGACGAATCCTCTTTGCACTGATGCATCAGCGCAGTCACCAAATAACTCACTCTGTCCGCGACAGCTTCTGTCTACGCACGCACTTCCTCTGTCTCAGACCTTCGGTCTCAGAAGGTACACACCTCTCCTCCTGGATGAGCAGCTCTTTGGCCATGCTCCGGGCACTCAGATGCCATGAGTTCTGGGCTGTGGGCTCAGGAGCTTGAACTGACAGCCCCCGCGAGGCCGGTGCCAGGCTGCGTCTGCCGCCAGCTCTGTCTGCCTCTGTGGCTGCGGCACACCCCGGCACCGTGTTGGGAGGTGTCGCCGCTGGACAGCTCTGCTCCTCAGCACACACACCTGCACTGCTGCCCTTACTCCTTCTACACTCCTGGGGCGCAGGGACTTCACATTCGGGGAGGCCCGGCCCTCTCACATTTTCTAACTTTGAGACAGCATCTCACTAAGTCGCTAGATTGCCTGGGCTGAGCTCAAACTCCTAACCCTCCTGCCTCAGACGCCCAGAGAGCTGGGGTTACAGACGCCTGATGCTTGCCGGCCCTGCTCCCTTCTGCCTATCAGACTCTTCTCTGCCTTCTTACTTCCGTACAGAAACACACCGTGGAGCATTCTCCCCCGCGCCCCCAGGGCCCTCCCCCCCCAGTCAGGGATCAGCAGTGTCCGTCCTAGAAACACCCCAGACACTTCCCTCTGTGCCTCCCAGCCTGCCCCACTGCGAGCCAGGCCCTGCAGCACAGCATGCCTGCCCTCCCCGGTGCGGCCCTGTCCCTGGCCACCATGCTGGCTGGGCAAGAACCCTGCAGGAGGAAGGCAGCGCTGCCAGCCAGGCTTCCGACTCCGACCTCGACTCCATCTTTCCTGGCAGAGGCCAGGCACTGGGCCCACCCTCCAACTCCATGTTATTAAGGCCACAGAGCACTTGCAAGGGGCGGCCCCCAGACTCCCCTTCTGAGGGGTGAGTAGGGGCGCCTGGACACGGGCCCCCTCCCCCTCTGCTCCCGGAGAGCTCGTTTATGGTCACTTGGCTTGTGCTGAAGCGATTCAGTAACTAGTGGCCAGCTTGTGACCCCAGCTGAACTGAGTCAGCGCGGTGTGGGCGTGGACGGCCGCCTAGGGACTGCTGCCAGCAGCACAGGACGAGAGCTGGAGAGGAAGACAATGCACTGTTGATTCTCCTGGAGAAGTCTGTCACGCTGGCTTTCCTGATACAAACTCAGCTGTTCTCGGAGGAGCTCAGGGCCTTGCTGTCGCTGAGGATGGCTGTGGTTCTCTTTGGGGGAGCTCTGGTCCTTACTTTGAGTGTCACTTCCTGGCTCCAGGGCAGATCCCTCAGCCGGCTGACACAGAGCCTTTATCCCACTGGTGCAGACTTTCTAGCTTCCACCACTGACCTTTGGGCCTTCCCAGTGCAGATCCTTGACACAGACTTGCATGAGACATTGTTGTGGGCTGTAGGCCTCCAGCAGGACTCAAGGAGGACATTGCCGTGGGATCCAGGCCCTCTGCTAGATTCTTGGGGTAGACAGATTTCTGGTGCATGGACAGATTTCCTGCATTCTTTGTATTTGACTCTTTGGGTGAATATTATAAAATAACCCTATAAATTATGCATCCTGTATTAAATTGTTTCCCTTGCAAACCCTGACTAAGACAAGCAGGGAAACTCAAGCCAACTTTGGAGAAGACCGTACTCCAAGGGCACTTTGGTCAGACTGGGCCAGCTCTGACCACGTGGTCTGTCCAGCCAATGCCAGTATGGGGACAGGCGTGGGGCTCTCAACCCTGGGACTTCTGAATGTTTAAACTGGACACAGTGGCTCGTACCTGTAATCCTAGCTACTCGGGAAACTGAGGCAGGAGGATGTCAGCTAGGCAGTTCAGCAAGAGCCTGCCTCAACAAAACTGCAAAGGGCTGAGGTACAGCTCGTGATGAACACTTGCTGAGTGCCCCAAGGCCCTGGATTCCACCCCAGCAGCACAGAAAGCGGTGTCCAGAGCCTGGCTGTCACCTCAGTCATTCCAGCTGCAGAATGGCTCCCACAACCCCATGCCTCCCAGTCTGGAGGCCAGGTGTCCAGGCTCCAGGGTTTCTGAGGGATAGACAGCGAGAGCTCTTGGGTTCCCCTTCATGACCTAACCACTTGCCATGGCCTCTCCACCTGGGGGGCAGCTTAGGAACTTGGGGCACAAACCTCCCCACCACAGGGTGTGGAGAAACCCAAAGACAGTGATGCCAATGGCTGGCCTGCTGACTACATGCTTAGAGGGTTACTGGGGCAGCATTCATGGTGTATCTCACTGGGACCTTTAAAAACTCCATGGCTAGTCAAGCATGGCTAGTGAGCGCATGTCTGTAATCCCAGCACTCGGGAAGCTGAGACAGGAGGAGTGCTGAGAGTTTGAGGCCAGCCTGGACTACACAGAGTTCAGAGCCAGCCTGAACTACAAAGTGAGACCCTGTCTCAAAAAGCCAAAAAATGAAAAAAAAAAAAAAAAAAAACAACAACTACAAAAACTACATGGCATGACAAGATAAAATGCAGCTGAGTACCCGCTCCAGAAAAGAAGTCAGAGAAACTGTGGATTCTCTTTCCCGGAAGCAACCAGACATGTACTGCAGCTGCCTGCAGCTTGAGAGGTCTGGCATGCAAGGCTTATTTGTCCCTGGGCTGTCTACCGTGTCCTCCGTGGGGCCACCCTGCCTGACCCATGCTTGTGTGGACAGAGATTTGCAGAATGGAAGTCAGCTCAAGCAGAGCTCTCCAGGCCGGGACTGCCTGTCTCTCCTTCCTCCCTGGAGCGGCCTCAGTGTGGCCATGCGTCCCCGACATCCCAACCTGCAGTGCTGAATCCCTGCTCAGAGGAACCCCAGGCAGGAGGCCTGTGCAGGCACAGAGCTGTGCTGCCACCTAGTGGCGGCTTGGAAATGTGCAGCAGGAGCTCTGAGCAGCCAAGGTGCCCCCGGAAGATCTCAGGTGAAAGGAAGCTGAGGATGGTGGGCAACTTAGACCCAGTCTAAAAAATAAAAATAAAGGACTGGGCATCACTCTGCGGGGGTGCAGCTCCAGCCGTGGAGTCCTGGCTCCATTGCTGTCACTCACATCAGTGCTGTGGGCACAGCCTTGGCATTGCCAGCCCAGCCTCCCAGAACCTGCAGCTCCCCACCACCATGGCCAAGAGGAGGCCTTGGCTCCCGCTCGACAGAGTGGTCCATCCTGTTCCCTTTGTGTGCATCTCCTATCCGTTTGCCCAAAGGGGAAATGCCTCACTGCATTCACAGACAAAACAGACTCACAGAGCCAGGTGTGGTGGCTCACACCTGTAATCCCAGCACTCAGGAGGCTGAGGCAGGAGGATTGCTGTGAGTTCGAGGCCAGCCTCAGCTACAAAGTGAGTTCAAGCCAGCCTGAAGTGCATACTGAAACCTTGTCACACACACACACAGATTCACAGCTTATTTATTCAAAGGGTTAAAGTCCACTCCTGCCTTCTAAATGCTGTTTCTAAACTGGACCCAGAATTTTGCTTCTTGGGGCCCCATGTGGCTTCCTAGTGGGCGCCTGGCTAGTGCAGGGTGGGGATGTGCACCCCGGGGATGCATAACGCCCATGCCCACATCTGTGCACACACACATGCATGTACACGTCACACACGCTTGTGCACACACAGACAGCTCCCAGGACCCAGGCAAGCTCACAGCACCACAGTGGAGCAGCTGGGCTGCTGGTGTCGCCCCTGGGGGTGGGCAGACAGATCTAACAGCAGAAAGCTCAGCCCCATTTCCACAGGAATCATCCTCAAGTCAGTTTATCTGGATCTGTGCTTGTGGCACAGACCTCAGGGTGTGACCAGCAAGGGTCTCCCTGGGTGTGGAGCGGCAGTTCTGAGCAACAGCTGTCAGCAGAAAGTAACGCTGGGCTCTCGATGGAGGGAAACGGAGAGAATGAAGCTGTGTTGTGTCGGCCCTGACGGCCCCCAAGGAACAATCCGGGACTGAGGAAAATAAATAAAGGAAAAGGGGTTTGGACATCGTGCTAGCATTAGTTTTAAATTTAAAAAAAAGATAATTGGTTCTTCTCTGAGGAGATTAAATTAATTTTCTGCTCTTTCTGTAGAAAATGTAACATTGTTTTCTTGTAAACATGTGATCAAGGAGTATGAAGTCAGAAAAGTAAGGGTAAAAGCGCGGTAGCAGTGAGAACATCCGTAACAATGGTGTATCGTATGCTGCTTCTCCAAGTTCATGGGCTGTTGCGACTCCTTTGCTGGGGTCAGTGCCTGCTGTCACCTGGCCCTGACCACAGTACATCTCTGCCTGGGCCACCCCACAGGAGCCGGCAGTGCTAGGGTCCTCAGTTACAGCACAGGACCCCGAGAGATGGGGATGTTCTTGGAGGGAAGCATGAGTGAGCACCCCAGCCCAGGCAGATCCACATGGAGGGGTCTCCAGGCAACCAGCAGACAGCAGGACTAGGGGACCCCAGCCCCCAGGCAGCTCTGTAGAGTAGGTGTGGGCAATGGCAGCACCAGGGCACAGGGCTGGATATGACTCAGGCCCTGACCCCCCGGGTGGGAATCTCCTAACCACCTCCACCCCTCAACCCCAACCCCCAGCCCCAACCCCCCAAAGTCAAACCACCCGGCATGGCTTAGAGACCTGGAACCAGAAAGGGAGGAAGTGGCCTCTGCGGCCTTAGCCATGAGGGGGAGAGCAGAGGAGCAGGGAGCAGCCCTGGGACGTGGTCTTGTGTTCTGGAACACTCCACACTCTGGTAGGCTGTTTTCACCTCCAGAGACAGAGTGGACCTGGTGTCCCTTGTGCAGGGGAGGGGTGCAGAGTGGCCTCCCTGTGCAGGACAGCTGCCTATGTCAGACCCACGCAGGCCTCGCCTATGCACCATGCCATCAGGGTTTATTTATGCAGTTGGGCCACACATTTCAGACCTGCAGTCTGTGCTCACCAACACCACATCTTTGGAGCAAAGGACAGTGTCTCTGACCTCCAGGCTCCCGGGGCCAGGAAGGGGGAAGCATGGCCACAGGCACAGCTTCTCTCCGGCCAGGGCCAGGGCCAGCACGCCAGGGTCCGGGTGTGGTCCTGCGATACAGACTCAGGTCACTTCCTGAAGGAAACACCAAGAATGAGAGCTGCATGCGGCAGAGGGGATGGACAGTGTGGCTGGCCTGTGAGGACGCCACAGCAGTGGGATGCTTCCTCTTGAGAAGGCAGGCGGAAAAGTCCCTCGAGGTCCTAGAGCCCAGAGAAGAACCAGTGGGCCCAGACCACAGCCCTGCCACAAACCCTGGAGGGACTTCATGCCGGGTCCCACGTGTCCACGTGACACATGGCAGCCTTGACTCTGCACCTGCCCACCCGGTCTGGACATTGCCTACCTGGCACCCCCGCCTTCCCACAAGGGGCTTATAGGGGCAAGCACTGGGCCAGGACCCCGCTTCGGGGCGTGCAGCGGCGGGGGCTGGAGTCCACCTGTCGGATGCAGCACTGGCTCAGGCACTCACGGTGGCTCCTGCAGAGGTCTCCTTTGAGCTGGGGACAGGGCTGGGGTCACCACCGAGGGGTAGGGCTGGGGCCACCTCCTGGGGACACGGCTGGGGTCACCACCCAGGGGTAGGGCTGGGGCCACCTCCTGGGGACACGGCCGGGGTCGCCACTGGAAACAGGGCCAGGGCACTGCCCACCTTGCGCCAGGGCACACACTGCAAGAAGATGGTCTTGGGCATGCAGGCCCTCTTTATGCCATGCCCGACCGGGACGCAGCAGTTGCTCTGACACTCCCAGTGGTGGTAGCACTCGTAGTCATTGGGCTGTGGCGGCAGGAGCACAGGTCTGCACACATCCTCCACCCCACCCCCGCGCCCACCCTCGCCTGCCCACATCCCACAGGCCACCACCTTGTGCCAAGGAGAGCAGTGCTGGAAGAAGGTCTGAGCGGTGCAGAACCGCTGGGGGTTCAGGCTGTTGGGGACGCAGCAGCCACTCCGGCACTCCTCATGCTCCTCGCAGGGCTCCCCTATGCCCTGTAACACAGGGTTGCCAGGCCAGCACCGCCACCTCCCCCTGCCCAGCCACCACCCCAGCTCAGGACCCAGCATGGAACCAGGGAGCAGAGGAGGTGGGGAGGACCGGAGCAGTGGCCAGAGCTGTGCTGGGAGGGGAAGCAGAGGCAGAGGCGGGAGGGAATGCGAACAGGGCACAGGCCACGGACAGGACAGGCTGCTACTGGAGCCGGCAGCAGCCCCTCTGCTCCCCTGCACCTGGCACACGCCAGGGGAAGAAACTGAGGCTCAGGGAGCCGTGTAACTTGTCCAGGTTCACACGGCTAACCAGCACCTGGAGCAGAGACCACCGTGGGGAAGAAGGTCGCACTGACTGGGGCTGAGCCCAGGGTTTACTGGAGAGGTGAGCCAGGGCGGGCAAGGAGGGCCAGGGGAGGAGGAGGCCCGAGGCACCGGCTCAGCAGGATGCGGTGCGGGAGCAATCAGGAAGGGGCTGTTGGTCTGGTCCTGGGGCCGGGCCAGGGGATGTGTGGGTTCGGGGCAGCAGTGGGTGCAGGTACCACCTGTGCTCACCATGCTGCCGCCTGTGAGGCTCCCCGCACGGGCAAGGCAGGCAGGTGCTGCCGGCACTCACCTTGTTCCAGGCCTCCGGCCCCGTGGCCGCCCAGAGCAGCAGCAGCAGCGGCCTCCACAGCCACATCCAGGCCACACTGGCCATTGCTCCGCTGGCCTGCGGGGCCCCAGGCTGAGTGGGGTGGGTCCCCAGGTGCCCCTGGCCTCCCGCCCTCCTCTCCTTCCTCTCCCAGACTATAACAAAATCAATGAACTGTACTTTCTACGCAGCTTCAGGTTTACAGAAAAATTGTGCTGAAAATCAAATGTCAGGTCCTATCCCTCGTCACCCAAGTATGAGTGTGACAGCCGTGAGCCCTGGTGCTGCCCTCAGTCCTGGTCCACACCAGGCTTGCTCTGGCACTGGCTGCAGTGTGGACAGCAGAGGCTGTGTGTGCACCTTCTTGTCACCCTCCCTGCCACCCAGCCCACGCTGCAGTGTCTCCGTCTCGGCGTGGAGTCACCATTTGCAGCTCTTCTGAGTGGCTCCCATCACTCAGCAAGACACATTTAAGGGCCACCCTTGTCCTTTCCTGACTGGAGAGCTCACTGGTTTCTAATCCAGGAGGGAAAATGGCTTTTAAACAGCCTTTTCCTGCAGGGAAGGGCTGTGGCCTTCATTAATGTAAGCGAGCATGGCTAATGCGCTGGGGACGCTGCAGGCGGCTGGCGCTCCCAGCCCTCGCCACGGGCACCTGCTGTCCTCCAGCCCCCAGGCCGGCTGCACCCCTCACCAGCACTCAATGTCCTCTGCACGAACGGCCGTCACTCTGCCCAGTGTCCTGCCAGACACAAAGCGGGGGCGTGGCAGGCTGGGAGAGGGTGGAGTTCCACGTCCTCCACCTGGGGAAAGGTGCTTCCATCTGCTGTCACCAAGACAGACGTAAAGAAAGAGGACAATGGAAGCTCCCAGGCGCAGCAAACCCACGCCATTTCCAATGCTGTGTGGCAGCAATGGACCGGCAGCGCGACCCAAGGTCCCACAGCTGCCCACCTCAGCTCCGCGGTGCCCGCTCTGTAAGTGCTTTTGGCTCAACACTCGTGTCTTCTCTCCAAAGTTTCTGTCTCAGCATGTGGTTGCTCGGCACCTCCACGTGGGCCCTCTGGCCGGGCTGCACCACCTTCAGCGATGTCTCCTCTGTCAACACAAGCAGCAGCAAAAGCGTCACTGGCACTTGCTTGGTGGCAGAGCACGGTGGCAGGAAGCTCGCTGCAGTGAGCCTGAAGCGGGCAGTTCGAGGAGGCTGGGTGGGGGAAGTTCCTCTGCCCATTTGTTTGAACGGACCCTGCGTGGGCTCCCGTGCACCGGCCGCCAGGAGGACGCAGCACCCTTGCCACCGCACAGACTCGCTATGCAGCTGCCCCGGGGAGCTGGAGGCCACCAGGGCTGAGCCTTCAGGTCTGGGCTCAGCCTCGGGCCCCAGGGGCCCCTCAGGCAGCACGCTGGGCTGCACCAGTCCGGGGCTTAGCTGTGTCCAGAGACACACACCTTGGGAGCGGGCCCTACCTAGAGGGCCACGTGCCCTACGCCGGCTTCTGATGCCAACTCTGTGCCGCTTTGGGTCTGGTTCCATGTGGTGTGGGTCTCGGACTGAGCAAGGACCCGTGGAGGAGGAGGGAGAGGCAATTCTTAAGGGTGACAACGAGGACAGTCACATGCATCAGCAGTCCTGAAACAACCATCTTTGTCAAGTGTCTGAGGCGAGCGGGCAATGGCCGGGCAGCCATCGAGGCAGACGCACTGCTAACACAAGGTCATGGCCTTGGGAACCCCGTGGTTCTGCAGGGTCTGTTGTGAAGGTCACATCAGACACCACATGTGAGGACCCTCTTGTTACCACCCAGCTTGCTTTGTGGGGTGGACATAGCAGCTCAACCCTAATCGGACAACATTCATACCCCTAGCCCCAGGGAACTCCATTTGGTCCCAAGAAATGTGCAGACCGAGGAAACTCTGCAGAACCTGGGGCCACAGCCTGGCACCCTTGGCCCCGGCGGCCGTCATCTGGCAGGGACTGCATTTACTGTGACTTCTCCCCACCTCCCACTCGGACCACGAAAGAAAACCACGCATGCCCAGGCCAACCTGCTGGATGCCCCACCTCCCTCAGGGGCCACTGAGTGGCTCTGCTGCTGTCCCCAGCCCTCGTTCCCTGCTCCAGCCACGGAGCCCCCTCCCCTGACTGGGAGGGGAGCTTCTTACTTCCCCTCAGTCAGGCAAAGCAGCTCGGGGTCAGCAGCACTCGGGGATGCAGAGCCACAGCTGTGCACGCCCACAGCCAGCCAGCTTCCACTGCACAGAAGCACCGGTGCGTTTGCAACCCTGTGCGTGAGTACGTGTGCACACTGATTTACATACAACTTAATGGAATGATGTGAAACCCAAATTGATCCCATTTGAACATTTTAAAACCTCAAACTTGCCATATTTTTTGAGCTTAGAAACAGAATGAACATTTTTTTTCAGTCTCAAACCTCTTCATAGGCCTGGACTCCCTCAGAGGCCCAGGTTCCAAATCCAGTGCAACGTGGCCAAGAGACGAAGCAGCCCCGATGCCCAGGAGTTCCCCACTCGGTAGGTCGCAGTGGGCGCAAGTGCATGGGTGGACGGGGCCATCGGAGCAGGAAGGACACCCTGACCACCGAGGGCGGCTCACTGAAACGAGCCTCAGGGAAGGACAACATAGGGGAGCCCAGTTACACGGAGTCCTGGAAAGGTCAGACCCAGACCCGGATGATGGTGGTGGCACCCAGCTGGCAGGCCTGGCTGAGTTGCAAGGACTGAGGTCCAGCTGAGTGGGAGGACAGTGGGACATGCAGGGCACGGACTGTGCTTAACTCCCTGGAACGGCCCATTTGCAATGGTGAGAACGCTTGGTTTTCTGTTCAGTACATTTTACAAAACTAAAAATATCTTCAGTGCCCTGCAGCTCAGCTGTGCCACAAAGAGAAGGCCACAGCCCCTTGTGCTTTGGAGCATGCCATCCCCATAGGGCTCTCTTTTCCCAGAAGTTTGCATCTACCCACCCCCATACCCTCTGTGTCTCAGTGGCCCCTGGATTCAGACCCTCAGTATGCTCAGTAAAAGCGAGACAAGGAATCCTGCCAGGGACATCACAAGCTCCAGGGAAAAAATCTCCAGACCTCCAGTGCCATTTGCAATGCAACCTCCTCCATGGGCACCGAGCACTGGAAGCTGGCTCGGCATCCGCACCACCACGAGGAGGTGTCACTGCTGAAGGGCACCCCGGGGCACGTGATTTGGCTCATCCCAGGGCCCGAGGGGGACTTGGAGCTCAGCATGAGACCACTCAGGTCTCCACACTGAGAAAACCAGAGGCCTCCAGGTTCCCCTGGGGCTGAGCTGCTGTCAATGGGAAGTGTTCTCGGGCCTGATTTGGTTGGGTACTCAGTGGTCCCACCCATTCTGTTAGAGGAGAGGCCAGCCCTGCCTCAGTGTCCCCACTGCTGCCACGGGTCCCACCTGTGCCTTGGTTAGACGCAAGTCTAGCTCACCTGCCGTTTCCAGGAAGGTCACAGCCCCTCTGCAGCTGGGTCACAGAGGAGTCGCTGAGCTCAGCCCACCCCCGCATCATGGACTGAATGTGCCAGGATTCTGCCTGCACATGACTCTGGCCACACAGGTGGGTAGATGCCACCAAGACCTCACCTAGCGACCACAGCTTCTCTCTTCTGCCCCATGCCCAATGAGGACCACCTGGAGACTGCCAGACACCTCTAGCCAGGCAGATGGGGTGTCAGCTCCTCAGAACCACCGCCTCACCTAGACAGGTTCCCATCACACAAGCCCTGCTAATGCTCTGGCCAGCGGGGAGGGGTGCTGTCTCCCAGCTCTGCTAAAGAACGGTGATTCCTCTCCCCCTCTCTGTCTACTCTGCCTCTCCCACAGCATGTGGTATAGGTCTCTCACCTGTCTCTGATTTCTGGTCAGCCAAGTGCTGGACTCCCAGAGGAAAGGTTCTTCTTAGGGTGCCTTGGTGCTGCCTGGAGTTGGCCCTGCTCAGCAGGGAGGTTGGGCGGGGATTCGGCAGGCAGAACAGGGCAGCTGGCAAGGATTCAGAGAATGATAGGCTGTGGCCTCCACTGCCAGGCAGCACAGCTGGAGGCTGAATCAGGCAGAACCAGGGGTAAGGGGGCACCAGGAAGCAGCTGGGAGGAGAGGGAGGCACAGCTGGGCAGTGGGAAGGACTGGGGTCTTCACATCCCATGAAGCACAACATTCATTCTCCAGTACCACAGAGCAAATCTCCAGCGCTCATGACCGGAAGAGCATGCACTCACTCCCACTGTGAGCTGATGTCCAGCGGACTGCGCAGGCAGCAGTCTGAGGTTGGGCTGCTGGAGCACTGCAGGCTACATGAGCGAGGGCAGCTAGCTTCCTCCCCGGGCGGCAGCTGGAGGGCAGCCAGAGCCTGTGCGGAGCCCGGGCTCCTCATCCACTGCAACTCCTCCCTGGGTAGCTTTGGTGTCTGGGAGCCACAGGTCGCTTCTGACCCCACACAAAGTCCATGGCTTCGCTTCCAGGGCACTCACACCCAGCAGAGCCCAGAAAAGCCCTGGCCAGAGCAGGCTCAGAGGACAGTAGCTGAAAAGATTAGCCGTAAAAAGAAGCCAAGCACTGCATCGGGACAATGGGAAGGATGCCTTGAGGACATCCTGGAACCAGTAAGACCCCACCTATTGCAGGCTCAAGGATTGAAAAGTGAAATTCTGTGCTTTGAGAAACAGCCCCAAGGCACCCTGGGATTTGGTTCACAGCTGAGCCATGCAGACACTCAGGCTGCCGCAGCCGGGACTCAAGGGGGCCCGGCTGCTACTCAAGCTGGCTACAGACCCTGGCATCACCCATGTAGTGCTGCTTTTGTGTGTATGCAGAATGCAAGAGGACTCAAGGAGGCTTCTGCTCAGATCTCACAAGGCCTGGGAATCCAGGAGGTGTGACCGAAAGAGCGTAGTGGCTGAACCTGAGAGGATGATGCTGAAAGTGTGATGCAGACCCCAGCAAGCTGGGAAGCCAGGACCATGAAACATCTGCTGAGGAAGGCACAGTGAGCAAAGCTGCCCCAAAAGAGGTAATGAGAAACGCAACCAGCAATGTTGTAAGGGTGCAGCCACAAAAGTCCTTTGAAATTCACTCGACCTGAGTGCTGGACATAGAGCTACAGAATTTAATGTTTGCCCTGCTGGGTTTTGGTTTTGCTTTACTTTTTTATGTGCCAGGAATCAAACTGAGAAACTTGTGCTTGCCAGCGAGGCACTGTCTGCTGAGTTACATCCTCAGGCCGCTGGTCTTGCTTTAGTCTGATCCCTCCCTATCCCCCATTCCTCCCTTTTGGAATGGGAATCGTTACCCCGTGCCATTGTTATACTGACAGAATTTAACTTTATTTTTGATTTTTACAAGGCTCACAGCTAAGAGCTTAGCTTGCGTCTCAGAGGAGACTTTGGACTTTTCAGCAATGTTGAAACTGTTAAGACTTTGACAACTCAGAGATGAACTAAATACATTTTGCATAAGAAGCATGAGTCTTTTCGGGGCTGGAGACGGAATGTCAGTTTAGATCAAGAATGTCCCCCCAAGGCCTCATGTGCTCAGGCACAGGCAGGGCTCTCGGACAGTGACTCATGGGCGTGCTGCACGGGGTGTGATGAATGTGCTGTTAGGCGCTGGGACCTGAGTGGAAGAGATGGGCCACTAGGGCCTGACTGGGAGGGTGCATTCTTATCCTTGGCTCATCCCTGTTTCCTGGCTGCCGTCAGGTGAGCAGCTGTCTTCTGCCAGGAGCTTCCACCATGCCGGTCTGCTCTGGAGTGGAGAGACCATCCACGGGCTGAGACCTCTGAAACTGCAAGCCAAAATAAGCCTCTTCTAAGCTGCAGATGTCCCAGTTAACAGGAAAATAAGTAATATGATAATGTACTCTCTAAAATACGGTAAAATAAGTTCATCAGTGCCACAATCCTTCAATGGGGTCTGGGCGTGGTGGCACACACCTGTAATCCCAGCACTTGGGAGGCTCAGGCAGAAGGATCACTGCAAATTCAAGGCCACCCTTGGCTACAAACGGAGTTCAAGGCCAGCCTGAACTGCATAGCAAAACCCTGTCTCAAAAAAAAAAAAAAAAAAAAAAAAAATCATTCAATGGGAAAAAGTGCGGCTGGGAAAACAGAGTGTCTGCATGGAAAGGAATGAAGGGTCCTCTTATTTCACAGCATACTCAAAAAAATTAACTCAAAATCCACCAAGACATAAGCTGAGGAGCTAAAGCTATAAAAATCATAGAAGAAAACATAGGAGTAAATATTTGTGACCTTAGACTTGGCAATGTATTCTTAGAAAGGACATCAAAAGCAAAGCAACAAGTCCAAGGCATGGTAGTACATGCCTGTAATCCCACCACTCGGGAGGCTGAGGCGGGAGGATTACTGCCAGCCTGGGCTACATAGTGAGTTCAGGACCAGACAGAACTACAGTGAGACCTTCTCTCTCTTCTCAAAAAAAAAGGGGAATGAAGCACTGGCAGATGATACTACAGGCTTGAAAATGCTATGCTCAGTGAACAGAGTGAGACATGAAATATCCAGAATGTGGAGATAGCAGATCGGTCTTTGACAGAGAGAAGGGAAACGGAATGACTAATGGCTTAGGGGTTTTATTCTGGGGAGGTGAGAATGTTTGGGAAGTGACTGCACAATGTCATGAGTTTACTGAATGTCAGTGTTGACTGTAAGACTGAGGTAGAAGAAATAAAGATAGGTAGAAAGGAGTTAAGGAAACTTGTAATTTAAAATTGTACTTTTAGGGAAACCGCAACTTCATGACACCAAGTTATCCAAGGTTATAATCCCTTTTTCCTTTCCCACAAACTCCGAAAAGAAATTCCTAGGAGTCTTAAAGATACATACACCTGTCGATGGGGCTCGCCTCTCCCTGTGCACCAAGATCTCCATGCTACAAATCCCACACTCCACCCCTAATACCACTCTGGGCAGCGTGCCCCAAATGCCAAACACAGGCAGCTGGGCTGCATCCCCACCAGGCTACCACAGGGGTCAGGGCAGACTCAGGAAGACCTGGGTTAGAGCACCCATCTTGGGGACACCCCACACAGAAACCTCAGCCCAGGCTGTCGTGCACCACACCGTGAGCACCCATACTCCTTCCCATGGTAGCAGCACAGGCAGAAAGCAAGTTAATCTCCAGTGACCAAACAGTGAACACTCGCGGTCCACTGGGCTTCTGGTACCTGGCACACACGTAACAAGCAAGCAGGATATTCTCTGCATAGGCCAGGCTACACTTAAAAGTCATACCCATGCCTCTGACACGGAAAACAGGTCTCCTCCCCAGGGCCTGTGACCTTTCCTCAGAGCGGATGCACCCGGGCATCCTCACTGTGAGCCTTCTGTGAGGACCAAGGTCCTGGAGCTGTCGATGGGCACTGCACAGGTGCTGCCAGGAGGGGCAGAGGCAGCAGACCCAAAGATGACTTCCTGATGCTTGCGGGCATCACCCCCCACCCTTCCCACTCAAGCCCTTGCAAAGCCCTCGGCCTCCCGCCAACGCAGTCCTCTCTCGGACCCGCAGCCTGCTCTCCTTTCTAGACTCTTCGATCCCCTCAGTGGCAGCCTCTCCCAGGCTGCGCCTTGCTCGGCCTCCTGAGTGCGTCCTTTCTGCCGAAACGTCTGCTGTGCTTCTCTGTGATGCAGCCTAGTTTTCCTGTGATGTTAGTGAGCCTACTGCCTACTCCCTGGGTGGGGTGATTTGAGGTCTCCATCTCTTTTGGGGGACAGCTTGGACTTCATGCAGTGACAAAATGGTTGAGCATATGCTCAGATGCTATGTGGATTTTCTCTCCATAAATAAGAGTATAAAGTATTTTGTGAAATGCTCTTTTGGATTTATTTCAAAATAATGCAGGTGGGGCTGGGATATAAAGTTACAAAACACCCGTTTTGGTTGGTAGAGAAAAAAATGGATCGGAGCTAGATGTAGTGTACACATCCATAATCCCAGCACTCTGAAAGGCTGAGGCAGGATCTTCAATCTGAATCCAGCCTTGGAAACTTATGCAGCTGGTTGAGAGCCTGTCCAAAACGAAGTTACAAAGCGCCAAGGAAATAGCTCAGTGCGAAGGCTCTGGGTTCTGCCCCCAGTGTGTAAGGGGATGTGGATAAAGAGCAGAGCACTGGGCACCATGTGGTCCCAGGTCCCTGCCGGGCCTCAGCCACTAGCCTCAGCCCCACCCAACGCTGCTCCTCCCTCTTGGGCTGGCAGTCCCCTCCCCGAGCCTCAGCCTTCCCACCCCCGGCACCTGCGGCACCACAGCAGGGACCTGGGTGGTGCAGCCTTGAAAGCAGGGTTCAGGGGACCATGGCCGCCACCCACCCCAAGGCCCCCGCAGCTCGGCGCCTGGCTCAGGGTTGCTGGTCTGCGTTCTGGGATTATGAGACGCCCAAGGTGATCGTGGTGCGCAACCGGCGCCTGGGGGTCGTGTACCGTGCGGTGCAGCTGCTCATCCTGCTCTACTTTGTGTGGTGCGCAGGGTGTGGGTGGGCTGGGGCCAGGGGAGCCTGGGCGGAGGGATGGGGAGGGGGAGCTGAGCCGAGGAGCGGGAGCCGGGCTGGGGAAAGCAGCACAGGACTGGAGGAGCCCGGCAGAGGGAGGAACGCATTGCACAGGAGGCAAGGGTCCTGCTTGTGTCCGGAGCCACCCCCACCCTGCAGGTATGTGTTCATCGTGCAGAAGAGCTACCAGGACAGCGAGACAGGCCCCGAGAGTTCCGTCATCACCAAGGTGAAGGGGATCACAGAGTCTGAGCACAAAGTGTGGGACGTGGAGGAGTATGTGAAGCCCCCTGAGGTGCGCCCTGTCCCAGGCCCTGCACCCTGCCACAGGACTCCAGGCTGAGTGCTGGTTGGCCCACTGCCTCTCTCTCTGTCCAGGGGGGCAGTGTGTTCAGCATCATCACCAGGATTGAGGTTACTCCTTTCCAGACCCTGGGTGCCTGCCCGGAGGTGAGGGCAGTGAGGGAGCCAGGGAGTGGCCCCAGTCACCTGTAGGGTGTGTCTCTGACTCCCTCTCCACCCTAGAGCATAAGGGTGCCCAACGCCACCTGCCACTCAGATGCCGACTGCACAGCTGGGGAGTTGGACATGCTGGGCAATGGTCAGTGGATGCCGTGGGTGGCAGGGTGGGTCATAGCTGGACCAGGCTGAGCTTGTGTCTGCCTTGCAGGGCTGCGGACGGGGCGCTGCGTGCCCTACTACCATGGGGCAGCCAAGACCTGCGAGATGTCTGGGTGGTGTCCAGTGGAGGACGGGGCAGCAGTCAGGTATGGGAGCAGGGAGGAGTCCTGTGGGGCTCCAGAGAGGCCCTCACAGTCCTCCTGTCTGCCTCTGCAGCCATTTCCTGGGTAGGATGGCCCCGAACTTCACTGTCCTCATCAAGAACAGCATCCACTACCCCAAGTTCCAGTTCTCCAAGTAAGGGCCAGCAGGGCCTGGGGCGGCCAGCGTGGGCACTGGCAAGAAGGGCGCAGGGGTTCCAGGCCTCTGCCACCCTTAGGGGCAACATCGCACACCGGGAGGGTGACTACCTGCGGCGCTGCACCTTCGAGCAGGGCTCTGACCCCTACTGCCCCATCTTTCGGCTGGGCTTCATCGTAGAACAGGCAGGGGAGAACTTCACGGAGCTGGCACACAGGGTGAGGAGAGCCTCTGCCACAGCCTGACATCCTCCTCCATCCTGGCAGCTGTTGCCAGAGGGACACACCCATTCCCAGCATGTGCTCCTGGGCTGACCCCTACTCTTCCCCTTTCTTGCAGGGCGGTGTCATTGGGGTCATCATCAACTGGGACTGCGACCTGGACCTGCCTGCATCCCAGTGCAACCCTAAGTACTCCTTCCGGAGGCTTGACCCTAAGCATATCCCCGCCTCCTCAGGCTACAACTTCAGGTACTTTCCCAGGATGCCCTGGGAGAGGGAGAGGATGGGCCAGCACGCACTGCTTCCTGCTGGGCAGCAGCTCACTCCACTCTAGGTTTGCCAAGTACTACCGGGTGAACAGCACCACCACCCGCACACTCATCAAGGCCTATGGGATCCGCATCGATGTCATTGTGCACGGTCAGGTAACAGCGTACAGACCCCACCTCCAGCAACCCTGCAGCCCCAGGCAGCTGCCACATGTCTCAGAGCAAGCCCATTCCTCTCCAGGCAGGAAAGTTCAGCCTGATTCCCACCATCATCAACCTGGCCACTGCTCTGACCTCCATCGGGGTGGTAAGGAACCCATTTGGGGACTGGGCAGGGCTGGGCGGTGCAGGCCCCTTACCCACTGGTCTCCATTTGCCTCAGGGCTCCTTCCTTTGTGACTGGATCTTGCTAACATTCATGAACAAAAACAAGGTCTACAGCCATAAGAAATTTGACAAGGTGTGTGAGCCACGGAGGCCCTCCAGCAGCTGGCCGGTGACACTTGCCCTTATTTTGGGCCAGGCCCCTCCACCTACTAGTCACTGCTCCCAGGACCTGACACCTGGCCCCATCCCTGGCCAGCAGGGCCCACAAGGAGCAGCGCCAGGCAAAGCTGTCGGGCCCCCACAACCCCACTCCACCCGTGCCCTATCTGAGCAGATGGTGAATACCCCTGACCAACATGTAGGACAAGGGCTCCCCACTTCTGAGCTGCCCCAGCAGGACTCCACACCAGCAGACCCCAAAGGTTTGGCCCAGCTCTAAGCTTCCAGTCCTCACTGTGCTGCAGACCTGGGCTCCAAAGTCCCGGCCCAGCTGCTCTGGCATATCCCATAGCCACATCCTGACCCCTCTGGGACCCTGAGCAGAGGGACACCCTCTCCCAGCCGGGTCTGCAAGGCCAAGTGGGTTCCTGACAACTCTGAGCCCTCCCTACCCGCTACCACCAACATACCTGGGAAACCCACATTACAGCTGAGTTCTGGGAGCTCCGTCCATGCTCTTGCCCCTGCAACCCTTCAACTCTGTCCAAACCCTTCCTTTGGAAGCCACGGCATGCTGAGCCCAATAAAACTGAGCTGGAGCCCCTGGCCTTCTTCTTGGGGGAAAGCAGCAGCCCAGGTAACCCATATAGGACAGCAGTCCCCACTGGGTGCTGCTGACTAGTGTCCCCAGGCTGGGTGACCTCCCTTACCAGCCAGGGGCAGAGTGCTGGGCACGTGCTGTTACGTATGCACGTGCGGGTGCGTGCAGTACTGTGCATTGGCAAGGCACTGCGCTTAGTACAGGGGCAGACAGTGCCCTATCTATTTGCACTGGGTCTCAGGGTGCCACCTGGTCCCAAGACCCAGGGGCTGGGAGAAGACTCAGTCTGTCTGTCCCAAACCAAGTCTGGAAGGTCCCTGGTGTAAGTTCCAAGTCCCAGTGATGCCTGCGGGTGATTTAAAGTGACACTGGCTCCCAATGCGCATGAAGAGCCTCCCTTCCTTGGTCAGGTCCCACACAGCCCAGTGAACACCTGTGACATTCTCGACTTGGTTTGCAACATGTCTGGAGAATGAGCCTTTCCACTTGGGGTGCACTTGGGGTGCCAATACTTTCCACTTGGGCTGCAGCTCAGGAGTTTGGCTGTGGCTTAGGTTTCTCTTGAGCCCCACAGCAGCTCTGTCCTGCTGAAGGGCGAGTCTGCTGAGGGATATAAATGTCGCTAAGCCCAGTCACACCCCTCACCCATCTCCAGGTCTGCTTCCAGGAAACCTAGTTACTCCCGCCCTCCTTCCTCTGGCTGCTGGCCTTAATTTGATTAGAGCTCCACTCTGGAGGCCTCAGTGCATCTCAGGCCTGGCCCACATTCCAAGCCAGCAGGTCCGCGCAGTGTCAAGTTTCTCCCCAGGCTGATGGGTGGAGAGAGTGTCCGCTGATGCTAGATACCAAACTACTTGTCTTCCAGGCTCACACAAACACACAGCAGTAATCTAAAGCAAGACGAGAGTATAACATTTAAGTGAAAAAGTACAAGAGTGGTATCAGATAGCCAGGACAAAGGCAACTTGAGCCTCCGGGAGCCTGGGGTCTCCCGCCTTTCCTTCCCCGAGGCCCTGCCTGGCTGCACTGGCCCAGGCCTTGGCGAGAGCTGGGCTCAACTGCCTCTGCCATTGTCCCAGTGTAGAGAGGCAGGATCCTTTGCAATGCTGGGACATTGGGTGACATGGACACCCCTTCCTGCCTGCTCTGAATGGGAAGTCCACAAGGGGTAAGCACCCCCGTCCTACAGGGTAGGATCTGAGTTCCCCAGAAACCAGCCCAGATCCTGCTCCCACCTAGCTGGGCAGGGTGCTTCTCCATAGAACATGGGTGGCTCCAGCCCCATGTACAGCATGGAAACGCTCCTCACCCTGTGTGCATCTCTGCATGCCAGTGCCCAATCCCTGAATTCCCTTCCAGCCTTGCCCTGGGGTGGTCAGGAGCCTGGGGTGAGAGGAAGAGCTGGGTGAGGTGTGTGTCTCAGAGTGTTTCCCCGCTCTACCTGGTGGGTACACAAGCCCTCAAAACATTCACTCCATGGAAAATGACCCTTGGGACCCAAGGCTTTCTCAGTGGATGGCCTGCTCACGTCACCAAAGGCGCTTCCTGCTGCTGTCCACTCAGGGCTCTCCGCAGCCACCCTTGGGGCTCTAGAGGGCTGGGGGATGTGGCACCCAGTGCTCTTACTAAGGGCCTGCCCGAGGGCCCTTCTGCAGTAGCCAGTCCAGGGTCTCTTTGAGGTATGACATGCTGTAGTGCTGGGCAATGTTCTGGAAGATCCCGATCTGCTCCATGAAGGCCTGGAGGAAGAGAGAGATGCAGAACACCGGGGCCACCCAGAGAAGCGGTGGAAGCAAAGAGCCAGGAGTGCAGCCCACCTGGGTGTGGATGGTGAGGGCAAAGTCCCCTGCGCAGCTGCAGTACACGGGCATGTGGGTTTCCTTCACGCCGCTGCACTTCTGGCAGACCTGCAACAGGTCAGCCCATGGGCATGGCGCACTTGCCCCACCGCCCGCCTGTGCTGGGGAGGATGCGCCCCGGCCAAGTCGGGTCAGCCTGCAGTACCACACCAGGCCTTGATCATGGGTACAGCGTGAGATTTCACCCAAACCTCCCAGCCTCCTAACACCGTCTGCCTTGCTGGGGTCCCTGTCCCAGAGCCACACCCTGGAGCTTCCTTGGGGCCCCACTGGCTCTGTCCACCCAGAACACTGCCCAGGCAGGTTGTTCAGGCCTCTGCTTGACGCCTTTGTTGATACTTGCCGTGGCTGGGGCACCAGCGAGCTCCCCTTCTCCTGCTACTCTCTAGTACTGCTCATGCAGGCTGATTAATGTGCTGACTCTCACCCTCCACCGGGATGCTAGTGCTAGCAAGTGTGGCTGGTATCAAAGGGCACTGACAGAACATGTCAACGGGGGCTGTCCCCGGGGAGGTGACCTGAGGTCCCAAGTGTCCACTGTCTATCGAGGAACCCCTGGCCAACAGCAGGGCCTCACCAGGTCCTGCAGCGTGAAGGCCATCAGCTTCCTCTGCAGGGCTTCCACCAGCGCGGCCTCGATGGCAGCCGAGTCGTAGGCAGCCTGACAGTTGGAACAGAGCCACTGTGGTAGTACAGCCCCATCCTAGGAGAGTAGGGAGAAGGGTGAGCGGCAGCCACAGCAGACCCGGGCAGCAACATGGCTGGCAGCATCCCCACCAGTATCAGCACGAGGAGTTGCAGCACGCACCACACATCAGGTGCCGCCTGCCGCCTTCCACCAGAACGACATCCAGGCCTGTGGCCAAGTAGGGCTCACGAGTGGCTGCTTCCAATCCTCAGGAGAGCAGGGGCGGCAGGAGCAGCAGGAGATGCAGGCTCCACCAGAAGGGGCCGCTTCTGGGTCTGAACATACCTGGGAGAAGGAGGAGTCTCTGCACAGGTCCAGGTCGCGGCAGAAGTTACAGCTGTGGCAGATCACCTCAGGGAGCACATAGGAGCGGCATGGGTCTCTGAACTGGGCTTCCTCAGAGAATTCGCCCACATCGACCAGGCGAAGCAGGTCTCGGTTCAGCTTGTTCACCTGGTTTGTGATGTTTGTATCCAGGGAAAGCACCTGAAGGGAACACAGCCCATCAGGAAGCAGCCCCAAGGCCTCCCCTGCCTCCGGCCCATTGTACCCCTCAGCCCCTTCAGCAGCATCAGGGGACAGCCCTCCCCGGCGGCACCTGTTCCTCCACTGAGCAGAGGCCCTGCTGGTGAGCTTAGCAAGAGCGAAGGGAAAACACAACACTGGTTCTCAGAACACCTCAAACAGTGAAGAGGGAAGGCACCCAATTCGCCTAGGAGGCCAGAATCACCCTGGCACAACACTAAGGAAAAGGAAACAGGAAAGCCACAGAGCAATGACCACAAGTACAGACACAGAACCCTCCACAAATATCAGCACACGGGATGAGCAACACACTGAAAAGAAGACATGATCCAGATGGAGCCCACACGGGTAGAGCCAACTAGGTTTTGAAAAGATGCAGGAAAAGGGCGATCTCACCACAGCCCTGGGATAGCCAACACCCTCATGCAGAAACAAGAAGCCTGACTTGTTATGTACACACTGTACATAACTCAAAATGGACCACAGGTTAAATGTGCACCACCAAGAGATGGAGGGCGGAGGGACAGGAACAGGACGCAAAAAGAATTACAATGTCTCATGTACATGTCCTAACTCCCCACGATGAATGTAATCCTTATGTACTGCAAGCATGGACTAACAAAAATAAAAAACGTAGAACCAATATACGACTTGCAGAAGAAAACATGGAAAAATCCATATCCTTAAAAAAAATTCCTTAGATGTAACACCAAAGCACGGTTTACAATATCTGATAAAGGACTTGTGTCCAGGATATTAAGAATTCTCAACTACAAGAGAGAAAACAATGCAAGGGCGGGGGTGTAGCCTGGCGGGCAGTCACTTCCCTAGCATGTGCAAAGCCCTGGTTTTGATCCCTTTTCGAAAAGAAAGAGAAAAAAACATGCTCAATTTTTAATAATAGGCAAGAGATTTAAATATTTCACCAAAGACCTGGACAGCACACCAGCCCATAAAATGTGCTCAGCATCACTAGTCATTAGGTAATGCAAAACAAAACCATAAGGAAAGTCTACCACATATACATCTGAATAGCAGAAACTTTAAAAATGAACAGCACCAAGTTCTGGTGAGGCTGCGGAATAAGGTGTGCTCTGGCCACGGCTATAGCTGCTTCTGCAGCCTCTTTCCGAGTCCAACCCTTTCCGATGGTCAGCAACGCCCCCTCCTGGGTTTTTACCAAGACAAACACAGGTTCACACAAAAGCCCACTGAAGATTGTTCACACCAGCTTTATTATTAGTCACCAAAAAGTGAAAAAAACTCAGACGTCCTTGCACTAGTGAATGCGGGCTGACTGTCCATACCAGAGACACTTTGAGCAATGGAGAGGACATGCTGACCACAACTGGATAAATCCTACATGCATGCTGCAAAGTGGGAGAAGCTAGACCTGGGAGCTGGGCAAGATTCGCCCTCATGGTGCTGTCAGGGACAGGGAACAGCCCTGTGGCTGCCAGGTGGCACTGAGGGACATCTCCACAGCTGCACTCCACAATGGTACAATCATGGAAACCCAAAGTGAAGTGGCACGGGCGCACAGGGCACACCAAGTGCTGCAAGGGAGCTGGAGCAGGAAATGGGATTTGCTACCTCGATGCAGGGGAAGGGGAGGTGGCCTGTGCCTAGCCAGCCTTGCAGATTCACACTACCATATGTCAATTATGTCTCAATAAAAGCAAAGCATTTTAAGGTTCGAATTCCTCTAAAAGAACCCTGAGCAGTCATTAGATCTTCAGCACGCTGCTGCCAGGGCTGACGCAGTGGTGGAAAGCTCAGGTATCACACTGGACAACACAAGCTTTGTGAGGGATGACGCCGTCTGGTTGCTATCTGGTAATATCATCCCCACTGTCCTCAGCCTGCCCTTCCCAAAAAGCAAACTCTCCTATCACCTCATTTGGTCTCCGAGCTCCATTTTAGTTCACTGGGCCCACTGATGGCATGTGACCCACAAGGTTCTCCCTCCCACTGCCCGTACCCCCACCGCCTGAGATATCTACCAGCATACCAACCTCTCACCCCAGAGCACTGCATCTGCGGACAACCCCAGCAACCGTCTCAACCCACGCTTCAGGACTGGCCTGTCTGCCCCAGCTCGGGCTCCATCTGGCAGGGCCTCTCCTGCCTGGGTCACCTGAGCCCAAGTGCCCCGGCAAGCACTGGTGGCACGACCATGGGACCCTTGCCTGGCTCTCACCTTGCACACGTATTTGATGAACTCCAGAGCAGGGTTATTGAGCAGCAAATGGGAGCCAGGCAGCAGAGGAAACATCTCCGAGGGCTCGGTGGAGTGCCGGGAGCCTGTGACTTTCTTCTGAATCTTCTGCGTGATGGTGAAGAAGCTCTGAGTGAGCTCATTGGCCACATAATCTTGGGAGAAGGTGATCACTCCTGGCAAGAGATAAGGGCACAGGGAAGGAGTCAGTTTGCCTGACCCCAGGCCTTCTTCCCCTGCCTGCCCTCCCACCCACCCAGAGATGTGCGCTGGAGTCAGGTCTCTGCACAGCACTGCTCACCGGGAAGGGCTCCAGCTGTCCCCTCAGCCTCTTGGGAGAACTGGCTGGGGCCCCTCTTCTTCATAGGTGTGCTGCCTGGGGCGCTGCGCCTCAGCTCATCCTTCATGCTGTGGTACACAGCCACAATGTATGCTGCGGAGACAGGCAGGCAGTCCATACTCTGAGCGAAAGGGGCCCCGAGGCTGGTCAGATCACGCAAC